TTTTTGTGCAATAATATATTTATGAAAGTGCCATCTTAGTGTCATTTTAACCATTTGCTATTTACAAAATATTTGAGAATAATCACAAAATTCATATAAATGAAATATTCATATTTTTTTTATATCCTAAAGTCTCTTACAAGGAAATTCACAAAAATTATGGCTTAAATTATTATTTTTCAAGAGTAACAAATTATAAGTTTTTCAGTATTAGAATCTCACATCATACGCAAATCCAAATTCTAGTTTAAATCTAACCAAAATTTACCATTCATCGTAAGTAAGTAAAGGATTCGGAGGAACCAATAAAGATTAAGGAGTTCTCCCCTTATAACATACACCTAAGTTTTCTTTTTATAGCGCATTGGGGTGATTGTTGAGCCTATAAACATACACCATCGATGAGCTGTGAGATCAGTGTCGTCAGTTGTTGTCTTGATCGAACGTGTTGCCTCATAGTTTTAGACCTAACATTTCTAGAAGTGTTGTGTTAGCAACCTCATGAGAAAGGATTTAGTTGGCATGTCAGCCATATGAGCGTGATGTGTCAACTAAGTGAGCTCGATGTGTCATCAATCAATCATTGTAAGAAATTAGAACTATATAACTAATTGTGCTACCTAAATTTAAGCTTATATTTATTAATGTTTAGTAGATTTACTAATCAAGTATGTTGTCCATCTAGAGATACGAAATGAAACTTGAAATATACACATACACACATCAAAGAAGCAGTGAGGTATGGCCAAAGGTCACCATCCTTCTTCCTCTTCCAAGGCACCACTGAGCTTGAGAGAATGTGCTCTCGATAAGGAGCTCGGTAAGAGGGATGCACGGTGGACTCAAACTCCTTCAGAAAGGCTGTCGCACACGATATATATATATATATTTTTTGGTGGAGAGGCTTTCTTAAAGGACGTCAAAAGTTGCGAGCTTGGAAGTCTAATAATGCTGCAGAAGCGATAGAAGTTTTGTCTGAGTGGAAGATTGGACGAGGCTGTCAATTAAGGCTGGTATGATGCTCGAGACTGAATCGAAGGTGTTTAGTTTGCAGAGTTCAAGATCAGCTTTTGCTGGATCAAGATGCCAGTGCGGACGGATTGGTATTCCTCGATCAACAACCAGTAGACTATTGGTCTAAGGAGCTTTGTTGCTATCTTTCAGAAAAAGTAGGTCTTAAGAAGTGAAGGAAGGATTCGGCAAGTAAGAAAGGAAGAGAAGAACAAAAGCAAAACAAAAGAGAAAAAGCTAGAAGAAGAAGAAGAAGAAGAAGAAGAAGAAGAAGAAGAAGAAGAAAAAGAGAGCTGAGAGGATCAATAAAAAAGATCGCAGCTACGTAGTGACACATTGCAAGTCTCCACAGGATTTTTCTCTGGGGATTTCGTGGCATACACGTTGAGAGGATCGGATAGGAACACAAGAGAGATCGTGTCAGTGCCAACAAGTAAAGAAGCTTTCTCTCTCTCTCTCTCTCTCTCTCTCTAGATGACCTGAACCACACGACATTCCCGGAGGAGGTGGCGAGAAGCAGTGAGGAGAAGAAGCACACGACCATCTAACGCAAGGAAAGAAAGCAAATTGTGCCTCAATGATAAGGATAAAGATGCAATAAGAAACAATAAAATTAATTATGTTAATATCCATATTAACAGAAAATAATTTTCGGAATAATATTTCTCTAACAACAGTTCTCATGAAACCATCGATCACATCTTCTTTTGTAATCAAAATATGAGATTGTTGGATCCAAAATCTCCCAAACTCTTTCCAATCGAAGGCATATTGGGCCATAGGAGATTGGCTCCTTGAAAACAATAATATGGGCTTTGAGAAACTATTCCAAGCCACCATTACAAACCAACAATTCTATCTTGTTTAAAGGAAAGCACCATCTTTCACTAGCTATTTGCTAAATCCACAACCCAACCTAAAGGAAATAGAATAAGCAACTATATATATGGGTCAGGTGGGACAAACCACCTTAGTGGATGGACAAAACTAAACACCAAGGATGATGTTGGCATCATGTGAGGTGTTGACATCTTACTGCACGATCGATTTTGGATACAACACTTGGATAATATCGTTGTCGACATGATAAATAAATGTATGATGACATATAAGTGGTCGTGCAGTGGGGTTATGGAACTGCCACATCCAGCTAGCTGAGTGGGTTGCACTCGAAGTACGTAGTAATGCCCAATAACATATATAGCCTTAAGGCACAAGCCTTTGTCTCAGAGGAAAGGAATGCAAAGCTGGGAGGGATTGGTGCGTAGCAAACTAGTTTATCTCATCCAATGATTACCACGCCACATTTCCAGCACGTCATGTGCCGACCAAAATGAAGGCCTATTTCCACATGCCAATAGAGTATCTCTCTCGTCGTTACGTTTACCATATGTGAATGATCCGCGCGTGAAGTGTCACAAAGAATTGATGATGAATAAGTGTTTCCCACGTGAACCCAGCCATGCTTGTTTGTCTTCAGCAAACGATTAATTCGATCCCTAGAGTGCATGTGAAGTCATGTATATATACACCTAAATGATAAGCATTCTAATACTTTCTCTACACTTTTTTCCTTCTATTAATATGATTTTTTTATTATCTGACATGTGAAGGGTTCGAATCAAATCAAAATCTACTAACTAGGTTTTTCGTAGGTTTTGGATCCGAAAATGTGATGGTTCGATAGGATCTCCTACAAAATTAAATAAAGGGCGATAAAGACATATTGTGTATTTCAAATTATTTGAGAGTCTTAAAAATGTATATGAGACCTTTTATGAAGAGCTCTAATAACCACTAGAATTAAGTCGAGAGCTAATCTATAGAAAATATTACATGGAGTCATTGATTCTTATTCGATCATTATATTTACGTATGAAATATTCATGTGAATGAGACGAGGAGAGCATGTCTTCAAATAATTAGGTATATCAATAGTTGAGTTAATACTAATATAGATTTGTTGAACTAATAAGGTGCCTAATAAGATGTGACGTAACATCAAATTGTGTATATGTCATACTCCTTAATCATCATGATCTCATCACGATCTGATTCCTATTGTATAGATCTATAAACATCATAATATATACAACATGCGACATAAAGTGAGAAAATATCAATAATAATAAGTAAAAAGATTGCATAGCGTGTCACATATGTCATCACTCATGTGATTGGCTTGCAGAGCACCTATGACTAGTATCCACGTACTCCTAAACATAGTAAGACTACGAAACGTCGTCATTAGCATTCCATCCAAACTAGTTATACACTTATTACTTAAGTTTCCTTACCTCTTCAATTTTGATCTCATGTAATTTTCACATCAATTTATCATATTAATCACGTATCTACTCCGGTTCTAAATATGATGTCTTCATATAAAAAATTATTTAGATCCACTTCTAACTATAGTAAATTATGTATTTTTGGGTGTCTATAATTTCCATGGTTAAAACCTTACACCCATAACGAACTAGAAGCCCGATCAAAACCATGTGTTTTCTTAGATATTTTACTAATCAAAATATCTTTAAATGTTTAAATCCATCAACTAAAATAATTTTCATTTCTTAATTTTATTCTTATAAATCACTTGACTCTCTTCTACCTAGACTAACTTTCAATAATTTTATTGATTGGATTCCCTAAATTTATAAGTTATCTATTATTATTTTTGTTTAAATTGAAACATCAACCCCACCCACCAATCCAAACATTTTATCCACTCATATCCCACTACGTCTTTCCATATATGTATAATGAACAACATATTATCTAATTTATCCAATTGTGTCATGAGAGTGTCACACAACAGAAGAATTCCCTTACTTTAAATTCTACCCATTCAATACGTTCTAATGATGTCATTGACCATACACCAATTCATCTAATGATTATCAAATAAAAAAAATCAAGTATTTAAATTAAATAAATATTTTATTATTTTTATAAAATAATCTTAAAATTTTATTTTTGAGCCTTCTACAATTAACCAAGTTTTAAAATTTTTTGAATAATGAGCAACAATATTTGAAGAATATAATAATTTATTATGGAATGGTACTCATCCCATCCACGTTAAAACCTTATAGGGTGCAAATGGGTTTTTCGCATCAAACGAATTCGTGATGGATCCATTAGTAAGTATAAAGTAAATTATTGTAAAGGGATTTCATCAACATCTAAACTTTAAGTACCATGATATATTTAGTCCAGTTATGATACAAATAACAATTCGTATTATTTTATGCCTTGCTTTATCTAACAAAGAGGGACTTCGACAGTTGAAAGTGAATAATGCATTTCTTTATGATTATATTTTTTATAATATATTTATGTGACAATTTCTAAGTCTTATTGATTATAATCTTCCTCAATATATTTGTAAGTTATATAAGGCTTTTTATGATCTCAAGTAATCCTCTCGTATCATTAACTTCAAGTACATCTAATCTAAGTTGGATTTCATTATTCTTAATTTGATAATTCGTTATTCATTTATTCTCATCAACACATAATCTTTTTTTTTTCTAGTTTATGTGGATGACTTAATTATTACTATAATAAACCAATAATAAATAATTAATTTATTCAATAGCTTGAAAATAAGTTTTCTATCAAAGATTTTAGGTCACTCAATTATTTTTTTTTGACGTTCAAGAAATCCAGTACTTGCTTTTCTTTTTCTATCAAATGTTAGACTTTCTTAATAGTCCGCTGTTTGCCTTTAGGATTAATGGAAATAATAATAATAATAATAATAATAATATGACTAATTCCTTCGGCTGCTCCGAAGCAGTAACACTCTCCCGGCACGTGTCCTGCTACTCCCCCCCCTCCCGTAGCTCCCTCGTCTCTGCGGATACCGGGCCCTACCATAACAGAGCCTGTAACCAACCAAACTTTTTTGCGTCAAATTAATTACTTATTTTTTCCTCTATTAATAAAAATAAATTGCATCTCCTTCTTCCCCTTCGCTCGGTACGCTTCTGCAATCTCGATCCTTAAGCTTACCGTTTACACGCTAAGCCGCCATTGACGAACTCGCCGCGCCTTCAAAAGTCCCCCACGACCCTCCTCCCACTCACACCGCTTCCGTCCTTTCTATCCTGGCGGATCCCTCTGCGTCGCCCAGATGCTGACGTGCATCGCCTGCTCGAAGCAGCTTGGCGGCGGCCACGGCCGCGAGGACGACGACGTCACCATTGGCGCCGCGACGCCCAGCGCAGGTCGGGGCATTAAAGACCTCACTGCCCAGGTGGCCGATCGCTTGATGTGGTTTCGTTCCGTTTTAGGCTTCCTCTCGGTTATTTGGCCTGATCTCAAGTTTTCCTTCTTCGGATCAGATTAAGGAGATGGCGTTAAAGGCGACGGGGGCGTATCGGCACTGCAAGCCGTGTGGGGGGGCGCCGGAGGACGGGCTGCGCCACCTCCACGGGGACTACGCTTGCTCGGAGGCGGCGTCGGGATCGGACTGGAGGACCATCGGCAGCGCTGCGTGGACTCCGAGGACTGCGACGTCCCCGATGATGGGGCGGGAGCTGAAGGAGATCTCCAGCGGCGAGAGGACTCCGTCAGTGAGCGGCTGGACGGAGGCCTCGTCGGCGGTGGCGTCGACGTTCCCGGAGGACGGCGAAGAGGAGGAGCCCAAGGAGTGGGTGGCCCAGGTGGAGCCCGGGATTCTGATCACCTTCCTCTCGCTCCCCCACGGCGGCAACGACCTGAAGAGGATCCGGTTCAGGTACTCCGTTTCCGTTCTCATCTCATTCTTGTTCATCATTGATACAGTGGCACCAAACAAACCGTTTGCTCAATCAACTAATTCGGCTTTAAATCTTGTTTTTCAAGATTAATTTACGTTATGCTGTTTACGAGAAATTATTTTTGCTTTAATATTTACTTACTTCCGTCAAAATTTTCCGAAATTTTACGCCGTAAATCGTGATGGAACAACAGCGAGTATTTTCATCAGTTACATACTTTTACAGAGGCATCGCAGCTTTATTTTTGTGGTTCCTAAACTTTTTGTATCTCGAGATTCGTGCAGTAGAAGACCGGCATCTGTTGATCTTTTGGAATTCTGAATAGCCAATACGGTGATGGATTTTTGTTCCGCTTCGTATACATTGGCGGATCGCCCGATGTTGTGCATGTTTCATTTCCCGGTTCCAAATTTGTTCTTTAGTTCGTTTTGTCTCATAAATTAGTGTCGGTTCGAAATCTAGAATGACGGTGAAAGGCCGCTTCTCCTTCCTCCGGGGTGTGAGAAAAGGCTTTAGAACAAGCAAGTAGTCCCTTGCTTCGCTTTCGTTCGCGTTGATGGCCCACTGTGCTTGAGCTTTGTGCAAATGTAGCTGTTATAGAATGAACTCTGTAGACCGTGACAGCCATTGAATTCTCTTAATGAGCTGGGGACTCCCTCTCTCTATCTGTCACTCGAAACTGCAGACACGCACGCCCACCTGTGGGTCTCGGATGCCTTCATCATGCCTTCCACCCTGTTGATCATTATGTCTGCTTAAATGAACTCTAGCGGATTAGGTTAGGGAAGGTTTTGAGTTTTATGTCGGCACTGGATTTGGATCCATGCATATGACCTGCATGAAACGATTACATAGTTTACCGAAGAACATATTAATATTTGACCATCTGATTTGTCTGAATGCTGAAAAGTTAGATGCGGTTGGATGCCATGATATCATTTTGGACAATAGGAAAGCATGAAAATCCTACAAATTCTGCAATAGCAAGTTTCTTAGCAGTTGTGTTGCTTTTTCTCCATGTATTTTTTGAAGCAGAGCAGAAAAGAAACCCAATGCATATGATATCTTGGTCAATGACTTCCATTTTTGCAAAATAATATGATTTCTTCTCTGCACTTCACAGACCCCATAGCTGGAATCTGATATGATTTAGAAGTATTTTTCTTAATGGAAGTCATCATGGAATGGGTACAGATATTTGGCATGAAGGCTAGTCCATCTTGAACTAAATAATACAAACTTCAAGTATTGACTTGAACTTCATAGAATTTATTCATGCTATCACTAGATTCAGGTCATTTCCTGTTCTTGTTGGAGGATACAGTTGTTTAATGCTGATTATTTATGTTCTTGTAGATGGTCATGTATGATACAGAATTATATTGTTGGACAATTTTTAGATCGTGATCGAGTTTCTAAAGCTTCCCTAATCAATTCCCGGTTCACGATTAAATTTTGCTTGCATTAGTTATATACATGCCATTCTTGTTGTCTTTGGTAGCCGAGAGATGTTTAGCAAGTGGCAAGCCCAGAGGTGGTGGGCAGAAAACTATGACAAGGTCGTGGAGCTGTACAATGTCCGTAGATTCAATCGCCACGCCATGCCTCTTCCGACACCACCAAGATCTGAGGATGAGGTGAAAGAAGACTACCCGATGTGAATCATTTTTCCACATCTTATTGTGTTCTTATTTCCATCAGGCCTTTGTTCATCGTTGCTTTAACCATTTGCTAGAGCTCAAAGGACAGCCCGGTGACACCACCACTCAGCAAAGAGCGGCTGCCTCGCAACCTCTACTTAACCGGTGACGCTGGGATGGGTTACTCATCATCTGATTCTCTCGAACAACATTCAAGTTACAAATACCATGGCCATCACCACACACGCCATGCATGCCACTACTATGACTCTGGTGGCCTCACGTCAACCCCGAAGCTGTCGAGCATCAGCGGGTCAAAAACAGAAACATCGTCCATGAATGCTTCACGGAGGACGAGCTCATCCGCTGAGGAGTTGGATCGATATGGGGAGCTCTCGGCATCAGTTAGCAATGCTAGTGATTTAGAGAGGGAATGGGTGGAAGAGGATGAACCTGGTGTCTACATCACAATTCGCGAGTTACCTCGAGGTATCAGGGAACTTCGCCGTGTCCGATTCAGGTCAGAGACTCACTCCTATCTTTTAATTGCCTTCAGCTGAATATTTTCCTTTTAACCTTCATCTTTGGATGCTCGTTCTGCAAACATTTTGATTGGCATTTCTAACATGAGTGTTTACCTAACTCATATAAGAACCTCATGAAATTAGGCGTTTTAGATGAGGTTCTGTGCTACCTGGATCATCAGTCTCAATTAAACGTAAAACATTCTGTTAAGAAATGACTTTTTACTTCATCCAGATGAGACCTTGCATCTTCATCATCTCTTCCTGTTTATTTGTTGGGGCATTTACTTTCTTATTTTAGGCGAAATTAGTGTATGTGTCCCATAAAATCAACCTTCCATTTATGTGATATTTTCTATTTTAATGCCATCATAATTTTGCAGCCGGGAGAGGTTCGGAGAGATGCACGCGAGGTTATGGTGGGAGGAGAACCGTGCAAGGATACAAGAACAGTATCTTCGATAACAAAGCAAGCAGATAAACATACAGCTGTTCTTTGCTCCAGTTTGCAACTTAGTTGTCATTAGAACTTGCTATATTTGAAGTTGTGTGATTAAATATGCAGGAGGATTGTTTGCGAGTATACTTGCGCAAAGTTGGCTCGAGATGGCTGTCAGTGTATTTTGATGGGTGGATCAGTAACTAAGAACATTGTATTACAGCAGAACCCTTGGACGTCTTGAGCTCGCTCAAGCAATAGCTTCAACTAATAGCCAGAGGAGTCACCCTCCGAATCCGTATCATGTCTGAAAGAGAATATTGACTTGGATGGCATGCAGCGGTCACCTTCGAAGACGACGCGGTCGCCGATGATCTCAGGAGCGACTACTTTTTCCTTCTTACCCACAGTCGTGGATACGTTGCCGGTGATGTGGCACTTGATTCGGCGTCCGAAATGACAACCGTCGGATGCTGTCACTGTGCCCCAAGTAAGCGCGGGACCCACACGATTACGTGGTCAACACGCATCGACACAGGCTCGGTGTCTCGCAGCGCAGCACGTAACCTCCTCTTAGCGGTTGTAAGCATGTTAGTCCATGGAATGAAGTAACACGCCAGACCTACACCTGGCAGTTACACGTCCAAACCTGGATCAAACCGTTCCACTTTTTCCCGCACCTCTTCCTCACACACGCCGCAACACCTGACCCTTTTCACCCGGTAACCTTGCGTTCCTTTTTTGCCTATTTGATCAGGTTGTTTTCATATATATATCCTTACACGATTTGGAAATAGCACTTTATCTACATCAGTATGGTTTATCCCAACTGCTTTCGATTAAAAAGTTTATCAAAATATAAATTTTATTATTATATTTTTTATTTTTAAGATTTAAAAATAATATATATAATTTATATTATGAGAATATTAAGATGGATATATATTAAAAAATATTTAAAAATATTTTTATTCATAAATAACTATATATCGATTTAATAAAAATAATATATAAAAAAATAGTCAAGATGATATCAGCATGTGATTAGAAAATCTTTGGAATGTGATAATTAAAAAGATGAAATAATTAATATTAGTGATAAAAATATGATAGAAGATGTTTTGGGAATGAGTCATCGACGTTCTAGTCAGCCTCACATGGTCCAAACTCGTATACGTAGGATTGTCCGAGATGCCTTTAGGGTGACAACGTGAAGTTCCTAATATACTACTTGCATGAAGATCGAGATCGAGAGAGTTTTCTAATTTGGTTCTTCAGACGCTCAGGTTAGTTTCCTAAAATTGTCAAAAAGATTATCCCACTTTTTATTGTGTTGAAGATGAGCTTTTATACATGATCGTAGACGATCAAAATATTTAATGAAATATTCTATTGGGAGGTAGCCTCTAACTACCTCTAACAGTCTCCCCTTTCCTCTTATCCACATGAGCAATAAAGAGGGAACATTTCATAATCACTTACTTTGGACCCTTTGTCCATGTGGGCATACAAGTGAAAGGTGACATTTGTTTTCTCCTTTTCATCTTGGACACCACGTGGCGATTACGAGTCGGATGACAATTAGCTATTGGTGTACTTTGTATTATTTGTCCCCTCCACACTCAGGCATGTTTTGGGGCTCTTGTGAGAGGGATATGAAGTACAACATCTAGTTCGTCTGACACATCAAGCTTATGTATCTTTAATTGATTCTCCAACTTTGTGCGTTAGGTGAACACCGACAAGGTCGAGAGCACCGTCGTCTTGAATTGATGACCTTTGTCACTCAACAAGAGGTCACTCCTCACTAATAGACCCTCCTCAGTAGAGGATCAATCTTTATTAACATGAACCTAACCCTCCTTCGAGTTTAGAGGGTTGCGGGTGCTACTAGTGGTGATCCATTGTCGACCTGCTCCTCATATCATCAAAAAATGCATCTTGGTTGGATGGGGTCAGGTTTAGCGACGTCTATGACTTGACGATGACCACATGCGAGGAGAGGGCCAGGTTTCACGATTGTTGCATCTCGGGTGGAGGAGAGGGTCGGATTTTTTTCGATTTTCATGCCTTAAGCGCAGCAGAGAGTCGAGTTCCCTAACCTCCCTACCTCGGGGAACCTGACCCTCTCCTTCATCGTAGGTGTAGAGGTCGAATAACCTGACCCTCTCCTCCGCTCAAGATACAACGTTTGGGAAACATGTTCCTCTCATTGCCTGTAGTCATCTCGAGCCATTGAGGTGAGGAAATCCGACCCCCTCCTTTGCTCAAACCGTGGCGGTCGAAAAAACTAGCCCTCTCTTTCACCTGAGGTGGGGAGGTAGAGAATCCCACCCCCCTCCTCTGCTTGAGGCGTGGAGGTTGGAAAACTTGATCCCCTCCTCCCCTCAAGATGCTATGGTCAGGAAACCTAACCATCACCTTCGCTAGAGACATGGAGGTTTGGAAACTCGACCCTCTCATTTCCCATGGTGATCACTGAGGTGTGGAGGTCGAAGAACCCAACCTTGTCCTCTGCCCAAGTCGTGGCAATCGACAAACTTGACTAAGTCGGAAAGAGACGTGGAGGTTGGGAAACTCTACCTTGTCCAACCAAGATGTGTCCCTCAATAATACAAGGGGTAAGTCAGCAATGGATCACCACCAATAGCGCCTGCAACCCTCTATACTTGAAAAAGAGTCATGTTCACATAAGTAGGGATTGATCCTTTACCAATGAGGGCCCGTTAGCAAGGAGCAATCCCTTACCGAGGGACGAGGATCATCAATTTAAGACATCGATGCCCCCCAACCACGTTAGCATTCGCTTAATGTGCGAAATTGAAAAACCAATCAAAGAGGCATAAACTTGATGTGCCGAATATATTATATGTCATACTTCGGATCCCTCTTATGAGAGCCCCGAAGTATGCCTGGCGGGGGGGGGGGGGACAAATGATATGGAGTACACCGTTAGTCAATTGTTATCCGACACATGATCGTCATGTGGTGTCTAGGGTGGAAGGAGAAGACATAGGCCACACTCTACTTATCTATTTATGTGGATAAGGGTCCAAGGCATGCATTTTTGGATTGTTCTCTTTTATTGCCCGTGTGGATAAAAGGTCAATGACAGATTATTGGAGGTAGTTAGAGGCTATATCTTTGTAGAATATTATATAAAATATTTAATTCCTTTATGATTAGGTATAAAAGCTCATATTCAATATGATAAAAAGGGAAGATTATCTTTTTTATCACTCTCGTCCACACTCATGTATATATCTCGAGTTATTAACTTGGGCGCCTGAGTGACCATGTCAGGAAACCTTTCTTGATCTCGGTCTTCGTATAGATGGCACATTGGGAGCTTGACATTTTTATTTTAAGGTATGTCGGACAATCCTGTATATACGAGTTCGGACTACGTTAAATTGATCAGGATATCAACAACTTATTCTCGTAATAAAAAAAAATTTAATAATTTTTTTAAACTTAATTAAATATATAATTTTTTTAGTGAGCTCAACGACAATATAGCATCTACGTAGCTAACTCGTAATAGTTGAGAGTTTCAATTTTATTGATGTACTAGTAGTATTTATTTTTTATTAGATAATAAATTAACTAAATTAAATATATTATTTATATTTTAGGAATATAATATGATAAGTAAAATCAGTAGGGATAAATTTGAAAGTAACTGTTTTGAAAGGAATATATATGTAGTTATATGCTTGGTTCATTTCTGCACCCAAAATTGCCCCCTGATCCAGTCTGTTCCCCTTCCCTCTGCACTACACTCTCTAGAAGCGAAGAGCGAAGGAGATAGGAAAGTTGCCCTCTCGTCCAATCTCGCGCTTCGTTCCCGCAAACCCTAATTGTAGATCTGGTGGCGAACGACGGCGGAGATGCTTTCAGTACTCCCCGCCGCCACGCCCGCCGTAGTCTGTCACTTCTTGTCCGGAGAGCCGCTTGTGCCCTTCTTGCAACCCTAACCCTCGTCCTTTGAGGCTTGATCGAATAAGGTTAGGGTTAGATTATTTTTGCTTGGTATTGGTCGTGGAGATGGAGGAGAGGTTGTAGACATAGGTTCGAGGCCAGAGTTTGAGACGCCGCCGCCGGAGGACGCGGAGATGGCGGCGGCTGCGACAGAGGCGGAGGGAGAGGAGGTGGCGAAGCTCCACCTGCCTGCTGAAATCGATTGGGAGATGCTGGACAAGTCGCGCTTCTTCGTCCTCGGCGCTGCCCTCTTCTCCGCCGTCTCCGCCGCTCTCTACCCGGCGGTCGTCCTCAAAACCCGCCTCCAGGTCTGTCACCCCGCGCCACCCTCCGCCTGCGCCGCCGCGGCCGCCATCCTCCGCAGGGAGGGCCTCCTTGGCTTTTACCGTGGCTTCGCCACGTCCCTCGCCGGCACCGTCCCCGCCCGCACCCTCTACATGGCCGCCCTGGAGGTCACCAAAAGCACCGTTGGCACCGCCACCATCCAGTTAGGCGTCTCCGAGACCACTGCCTCCGCTGTGGCCAGCGCGGTCGCCGGACTGAGCGCCGCCGTCGCAGCACAGGTTGTATGGACCCCCATCGATGTCATCAGCCAGCGGCTGATGGTCCAAGGCCATCACCGACTCACGAGTAAGTACCTCGGTGGGATAGACGCATTCCGGAAGATCGTCGCAAGCGACGGAATTCGCGGGCTTTACAGAGGGTTCGGCATGTCTATATTGACATACGCCCCCTCAAATGCTGTTTGGTGGGCTTCCTACTCGCTGTCCCAAAAGCTAATTTGGAGTGGAATTGGGTACTATCTTTGTCGTCTACGATTTGGCTTTGAAGAGCAAGAGTATGGAAATAGCAGCGGCGGTGCTGTGAAGCCTGAGTACAGGACAGTGGTGGTAGTGCAGGGGCTAAGCGCTGCAATGGCAGGTGGTGCGGCCGCGCTAGTGACAATGCCTCTGGACACGATTAAGACGAGGATACAGGTGATGGAAGGTGGGAAGGAGGGACCGATGACCATAGGTCGAACAGTAAGGAGCCTTATAAGGGAGGGAGGGTGGAGCGCATGTTACCGAGGATTAGGGCCAAGGTGGGCTTCAATGTCGATGTCTGCAACCACTATGATTACCACGTATGAGTTCCTGAAGCGTCTGTCCACAAAGAAGCAGGAGGGCTTCGATATATGATAATAAATATAATATGAATAACTGGTTTTCCTTCTTTCTGTGTGTAGGTTATTTTGGTTGTTTCTTTTTTTATCCCTTCAAAGAAAATAGGATACAAATCTTTGTTAAGATAGTGCTTTTGAGTTTCGGAGTAGTTTCATTCAAATGCATTCCAATCCATGGGTTCTGTGTTCTGAGGTTTTTTTTCTCTTGCAGACTTCAATATTTGATTGTGAAATTTGGGTTGCATGACTGACTGAGATATTGAAGGCTTTGTTTTGAGATGGTGTCTGGCCTTTCTTTTAAGTATTGTATTTGACATTTTCTGGTTTCAGAATGACAAGAAATGCCAACTATCAGCATAATTTAGGGCTTCATTGTCCATATCTTTATTCATTGACCTCCTTCCTTTTGCACATTCTGTTTGCTTATAGTATTATGGAATTCTTTAGCTAATATCAATGTTGGCTTTTCTTATGTCAAGTTGCAAAATGTTTTGCAGATTGGTGACAAAAGAAACTGTTTGTTCTATTCTTTTTAACCCAAGCATGAAAATCATCAATTCCCATGGATTCAGTTTGCATCATAATGGGTCCCTTTTCATTTCCCAAGAACTATATTGGAACAATTCTGACTTCAACCATCATCATTGGATGATTTTGGAACACTCTAGGTTTGGTCACTTCAGCCACATAATAGTTTAGGCAATACTCATGACTACAACTTAGTCTTCCTTCATCTTTGATCTGAACAGTACTTGTCGGCAGACTCAATCAAAGACATAGGCTTGACCTCCATTTTACTGTGTGTGGATCGGTTCTTAGAGCAATTTGATGAAGTCTGGAGACTGACATATACTCAAATCAAATAATCAAAGGTTCTTGAGAGTCTCCATTATATCTAGGGAAGATCAATGTCATGAAGTAGAAGAACCAAGGTGTCTATGCATCAAAGTTGGAAACTTGTCCAGCAACATTTGTATTTTTTTCATCACTAGTTTTAGCGACAATTTTATAAGATATTTTGGAGTCCAACCAGAGTTAAATTAATGTCCAAAGGCCCTAATATGGTACATCATATGTTAGGGTCCCTTTTCTTTTCTTTTTTTTCTCTAAACTTGTATACTTGTATTTGGGAGATTTTAGAGTTATCTGCAGATAATTAATTTCATAGGGTGATGGGATTTACTATCTTCCCATTAACTCCTATAAATATATGAATGAGCATGTAAGTGCTATAATACATGATAGTCTCTTGATATCTTCTCTCTCAAATCAATCATCTTTCTCTCTCTCTTCTCTATTTTTCTCCTTCAGAGTTCCTTTAAGAAGTCACTTAATAGAAAATGATACTTCTATTACACTTAAAATCGTTTGCATAGAAAAAAACCAAGTCTCTATTTAATAGTGCAAAATCATTCAATTGTCTTCAGCAGTGGATTATTATTTTCTCATGAATGTGTGAGTTTTTTTCATCAGCAGATTTAATGCCATAGTTCGGTATCAGTTTGGTAAATGTGATATTTGATCTGCATACTTTTTGTTTCCATAAGGTCATAAATGTCAATTTATCTCGTCATAGTATATAATAATTGTTATTCGAGAAATTTGTTGCAGTGGTAGTGACCAAGTAAAAAATTACCCTTCCTAAAATTTGACTTTAGTTTTCTGTAGAGTGATGTTAATTCAAGGATTTTAAGCCAAGTTTTTAAGATAATCTCTGCAGCGCCAGACCTGATATGCGAGTAGAGAAATTGGAAGAAGCAATAATATTTTGGTGAAAAGGTGGCATTAGCTAAACACAGGAAGTTGATTTTAATGAATTGATTCCTTATAAACATTTAATAAGCTAGTCAATTGGTGTGATCGGTCATTAAAATTGTTTCCTTTTTTATCTTTCTTTTTTTTGGTTTTGTCTGCAATATGATGGAAATTTTAATAAGCTTGTCATTTAGCAGCAACATGTGAGCTATTGTTGATGAAGAACATGATGGACTGATACTAATCTAATACAGGACAGGCGCATTGAGGGAACAAAGAACATGTATTTCTTTATTCGGGGATATGATAGCCATGGAGTTAATAGGGGGAAGATAATAGATGTGAAATAAGTAAGAAATGATGAATGTCAGACCGGTTTAGAGCGCCCGGGCGCGGTCCACGCACGCGGCTGAGCCCAATCGCTACGTGCTCAGGGCGAGCGTCTGAACCAAATCAGCCTTTGTTCGAACCGTATCCGAGCCATTCTAACGACAAGGTGGGCTAAACTAAACCAAATCAAGCCCGATCTAAACCCAACATCCCCCTCCCCCAACCCCTGTGACGCCATGGAAGGGACTTCTTTCCCGTGGAAGGTGCCCGGTGACGATTGTCCTTCCTTTGCGTGAAAGGCGGCTGTCGATTATAAGTCGGCCCTCCTCCCTCCTACCCTCTCGGTGTTGCTCTCCCTGTGCCTCCCCGCCGACGCCCGTCTCCCGTGCTCAGCCCCCCTTCCTCTCTCTCTCTCTCTCTCTTCTTTTTCTCTCTCTTTCTCTCTCTCCCAAGCAGAGGGAGATAGAGCACTCAGGCCGCCTCCTCCTCCCCCCGCTCCTCCCCCCGACAGCCCCCTTTCTCTATCTCCCAGCCGCGAGATCGCCGTGAATTTGCCATCTAGGGTAAGATCTCTCTTCCTGGTTCCTCTCCTTTCACTCACCTGGTCTCCATCGTTTCCATCAACAAAGTTGTGTGGTTCAGATTATAAGAGCGTTGTGACTGATGTTGCGTATTCCAGGGGTTCTGAGGTCTTTGAAGAGGAGGAGAAGACGATGGGGACGAGAGAAGTATACGAGGAGAAGCTCCGGAGAGGCAATCTACACCATGACCCCACGATTAATCCTGGCTTAGGCTCTGCTCGTTGCCCCCGTTGCCTCTCTCTCATAAACCCTAACTCAGTTCTGTATTTTTCCTTCTTCCTCTTGTGTTTGACTCTTTTTTTTTCCATTGAATACCGTTATTTCTTTGTAATGTGTGTTTGTCGCATTAAAATTAAATTTATTGACAGTTCATAATGTTTTTGTTTGAATTTATATTCTTTTTTCCTTGTTATTGTGTACTTATAAGTACTTCTGAAATGTGCAGGAACAAGAGGAATGGACCATCAACTCTGTTTTGCATGATGCAACTTTTGTGGTATATATCTCTCACGTTGTTGCATTTTTTGACCTGTTTGAATTTTTTTCTAAAGATCATACATATGCTGCCTTGTTCTGTTGACTTTGATTTATATCAGCTGTTATGTGTTGTGTAGGCTGGTTCAGGGGCTGGTGTGATGCTGAGTGCTGTCCATGGGATGAATATAGGTAGAGTGATATTAGCTCCCACTCTCAAAAAATTAATTGGTCCCTTGCCTTAATTGAGCTATTGAGATTGTTCTGAAAATGAGTTTTCTGGGTATTTCTGATAGGGATTCCTTTTGTTCAGAAGCATGTAAAGGGGCCCAAATGGCTGCATTTTCTTTTCGTGGTAATAATTTTTTTTTATCCATTTTGTTGGAATTTCTATTTTTTGTGAATTATTACAGGATGTCTGATATGTACTATGTATATTAGTTGATTGATATCTGGCAATAATCTTCTCGATACTGCCTTGTTTGTTCTCAATAAAGTGGAGGCACTAATACATATGTATATATTTATATATACATACATATATACATACATTCGATTATGCACTTTCATCTTGGTAACTACAAACTACATTGTTGATATTACCTTCAATTTGGAGCTTTTCCAAGCAACAATGCAAATGATCTGTCCTAGTAAATGCAATATGTGGTTGTAGTTTTTTTGTTTAGCCAAATACAAGTGCAGTCAGACTGTTTCTAGAAGCAAAACAGATATATTTGTCATCCTCATTTGATTGTTGTATGGTTCTTAACATGTCATGGCTTTGCAGTTAATAAAATGATCTAATAATGCAGAGTCATACATTCATGACAATGCACACTTACTATATGACATATGTTGCGATCAAAAGGAATGCTAATGGTAAGCTAAGTAACATAGATGTATGATTCTGTTTGTAACTATCTTCATGTTATAGCTATTTTCTGGAAGTATAGAACTATGCTGTTCAAGTCTTGAAGTCTCTTGGGTAGCATCCTTTGCAGTATCAGACTCATGCAATTGGTGGCCAATTCATGGTCCATAATTATATGATATCAGTCACAGAGGCCTTTAATAATTTTTTATTACATGTTAGTTAAATAAGTTCTTAATTAAAAATAAATACATCCATAACTCTTTTATTTTGGCGCCACCTTTATATGCCTGTTAATAATTTAATTTCGCCAAGCATTATAATCATGATCTGATAGCAATATCTGTCAATGGTTTGACCAATATAGTACCAGTGTCATATAGTGTACAAACTGTCAGTAGAGGTCGAACCACTTTGAATAAAAGGGAGAGTAGTTGTACCATGCAGTGGAGGAGAGGTGGCAATGCAAAAGCGGAGCAGTGGCGAGCAGGCGAGGACACATCGATGCAGTGGCGATAGGGAGACGCAGAAACTAGACAGGAGAGAAAAAAGGATTACATTGGGTACGAGTATCGGGTGGTAGTCTCATTGCTTGGTACAACTTGGTACCAGACAGCTTACCACCTTGTAAGCTCAGTATGGTAAGCTTGTGTGGTGGTGAGCTTAATTCTTGATTGATACGAGCAATATTGCTCTGTTTCTGTACTGGTCAACCATCGGACTAGAACTGGATTGTACCGACCGATATGGTCAGTTTTTAAAACCTTGAATTTGGTTGTATATTAGCTGTACTTATTTAGTTGCTCTTCTTAATAGACTAATTGAACCACATATCTTTGATTATAGCAAATGAACTACACAGTATTTCTACCGCTATCACACCATGGTTTTCTTTTAAAATATTGCAGTTGACATTTGTTTTGAAGACATTGCTTTTTCTATCTTATTTGATTGCTTGCTCTAGTTGTGGATACTTTGAAAAAGTACCTTTTCGAAGATATGCTGTTCTGCATCATATTTCATCGATCATCTTTTCCTTCCCAGTTAGTCCTGTCACCCATAGTAGGGCCATCAACACGGCAATAGACCATAAGAATTTGATCTATGTGCTGAGTTTCAGCACTTCTGAGGCACTTTAAGGATCACATTTTTGGTGCTTTAGAGTGACCTCTATGTTATAGTATAGCACTCT